AAATATGTTTCTTAATTTGAAAAATATATTAGTTTTTTTATGTGGCAATTGCAAAAATGCCACTTTTCATGTGTACATTTGCAATAATGTCATTTAGGGGTGTTCATTTGCAAAAATGCCACTAATTATGAATTTTTAAAACCTAAATCTTAAAATTATAAATCCTAAAAAATGTTTTGACCCCTTAAACCCTCAAAACTAAACCCTAATAGAATATAGTTAACCCAAACATAAATGATATAATAAAATTTTTTTTTTGAAAAAGTGGTTTTTTTTGCAAATATTTTGAAAAGGTGGCATTTTTTTTTTATTTTATTTTATCAATATACGTTATTAGAAATTACTAACTTTGATATATAACTATGATAAGATTATATTTTTAATTTATCATTTCAAATAACAAAAGAAATCTATTTAAAACTACTTTACATATCTTTCAACTTGAGAATTTTTTAGAAATGCCACTTTTGAAGTGTCACTTTTCAAAAATGTCATTTTTTAAAAATCTTTGTAAAAATGCCACTTTTTCAAAATCATTTACTCGATATATCATTTATGTTTGGATTAACTATATTATATTAGGGTTTAGTTTTGAAGATTTAACACTTGTTTGAGGTCAAAATATTTTTGTAGGGTTTAGAATTTTAAGATTTAAAATTTAAAAATTTTGGTATTTTTGCAAATGGACAACCTATAATAATATTTTTAAAAATAAACACATTAAAAATATCATTTTTACAATTCTCCCCAACAACTTTTTACTTTAGCATATAAAAGATATCTCAGAAACAGATGCCCCAAAATACATATATAAATATTAGATATTTCCGAATATGGAATCATGCATGCACGCATATCTTTGTGTTTTCTTGACAACTTTCCCTTCGGAGCACTTATCCTAATTTTTTTGTTTTTCTATGCCACAAGAAACTTTTGTCCCGGTCAAATTCTTTTCTATTCTTCTAAATCTTTAGTTGATGATATACGAGAGGTGAATGATTGATTGGATGATATGATACATATAGCATTATCTCAATGGCCAATTCTATCTTTCCACTTTCGGCAGGAAAGCATGTGGAGAATGCCTAGCGTGTCACGTGTCGAAATGGAGTTTGTTCGTCGTCCAACCCTACATCCCCAAGTGGGAGTGGGTTTTTTTTTTCCAGAATCTCATCGTCCACCGGTTTGTGTTCCTTCTATACATTTCTAATGCATCATCTTATTCTCTTATTCTCATTTCTAATGCATCATCTTATTCTCTTTTTATTCATTAAATAATTAAAAAAAAAATTCGCGCCTTTAGTCCATAATTCATTAGGTTTGTGACTAGTTTTTCATTGGCTTAGTAATACTTATGTCACAAATGGATTCATTCAATTCTACAATAATTCAAGAAAAATTACAAGTTGGCTCATATCTTTTATATATTATACAAGATCCCATAATATTTAAGATGTTAGATATTCTTCACACATGATTTACATGCCATGATTGAAAATAATTCACCAACTTAAATATACGATGGATTCTTATACCATGGTTAAAAAAGTTAGGAATTTACAAAGAAGTTAATAAATGGATTGGGCTAAAAAGTATAAAGAAGGTATAAACTGAATTTTTTTTGCCATAGGATCATCCTCTAGGTTATATAATTTATTTTGTAAACCTAAACTTTTTTTTTCCACCTGCATTATCATTTATATATCAAACTTTAAAATCACAGTTCAAGTTACACTCAAAAGAAAAGAGAACATAAACCCTAGCGTTTAACCAATCCACCCACACACAAAAAGGCATAATTCACCAATTAGCCAAGTTGTCAAGCCATGTCATTAAGCTATTATGTACACCAAAAAATAGCAGACAAC